TTATATATCATTACCCATTTAAGTACCGTCTCCAGACCATTAATTAGTCTCAAAGTAGGGTTCCTCGTCATCGAATAAGAAAGAATATATATAGTTTACTCAGTGCTAAACAACACTTGTATTTGTTATTAGTGCTACAATCACATAAATCAAGTAACAAATAAAATTAATAATTTCGTTTTGAGTTTACTTACTGATTATAAGTATTATTTTATTATAAGTTACAGTAATAAAGAATATTTTTAAAACAGGTACAACATTTCGAACACTGGTGCGATCATTCTAAAGTACCCAAGTTTTAACGGTAAATAGAGTTTTATTATTTAAATAAAATCTAACAATGCATTTAGATTTTAGAAGTGATAGTTGTTATTTATGTATATGCATATCAATCCGCGTGAATTGACAGATTATTTATGGCTGAACAGAAAAAAGTTAATAAATATGAGAATATGGAAATATTGGACCAAATATTTGATTATTAGGAATGTCTAGGGAAATAAAGACATTCAATTAATTGCCCAACCTTTTACACAAGTGAAATAGGTTTAAAAAAAAAAGTCCCTTCCCAAGTCCATGAATGTATGAACAAAAACAGACAGTTCTTCTGAACAGAATGTCACCATACTAAAACATGAACTTGACATTAACAAAAGAATAGTCAGAGAAGCCTTACTAATAAAATCAAACAATCCTACAAATACACAGGCACATATCTATAAGTCTTTGATCGTTATTTCCCCAGACATTCCTAATCTTATGAAAATATTTCCCACAACATTTTTATATTTTTTCTGTTCGGCCATAAGGAAATAATATGCCAATTCACACGGATTGATATATACATGCATACGTAACCACTATAAATTCTAAAATTTAAATGCATTATTAGATTGTTTATTGTTGTTTTAAATACTAAAATCTTTTTTACCATTAAAACTTGGGTACTTGAAATTATCGTACCTATGATGAAACATAATACCTGTTTTTAAAATATTATTTATTACTGTAAAAGCTATAACTTGTAATAAAATAATAACAAACAAAATATTTCAAGAAACTGTACTACAAACGTTTGTATCATCCACCTATGGAAGGTTATTGTATGATGTAAGTTCTAATATAGCCATATACGTAATTTACAGTAATTTACACCGGAAGATATGTTCTTCTGACGTTTTTCATTAACGAGTGATGTTTTCACTCTCCCATTCAACAACAAACAAATGTTTCTTTGTAGATTAACTGAAGCAATTGGGTTATTTTCGAGGGAATTTACAATTGCTTCGACGTTTTTAGGAGCTTTTATTAATTTAGAAAGTTTAAGAATAAAGTTAAATTAGTAGTTGTATTTTTGTAAACAACTAAGAAACGTGGATGAACTAGAAAAACAAGGTTAAGCCACGTAAGAAGCATTGCCTAGAAACAAGATGAGTTTACTAGAACTTGTGACAGATTGATGAATGGTTGACCTCAACCCTTTAGAACTAGGAAATCTACAGAAAAGTTTGGTTTAGCGAGTGATATCACTTGCAGCACATGAGTGTAGCAGTACAAGTAAATAGGTGACCAGCTAACACAACCTAACTGTAACAAATTACTTGAGAGTTCTGGTTATGGTTTTGGAACAGCTCAGGGATTCCCCTAAAGCATCCAATAGGATCACAGGACTACTTGTGGGTGATGCTGTGTTTTATTTAGATAATCAAAATAATACACAGAAAATTTGCTTTATAAACCCATGTCAGAAACTGAAAAGTAGGAGTTCCTCCAGGAATCAAAGAGTTCTCTGAAATTCAGAAAGAGTTCCTCTGGAAGCTGGAAAAGTCACTGTCTTGGGCAACATGAAGGTTTCTAACATTATTCGATTTCCAAATACAACACCATTGTGAGTAAACTTGACTATTCTCTCTTAGTCATTTAATACCAATGTTTTATAAAATGTTATGTTGAAATATATCTATGTGTATTGATAAAAATGCATACTGAAGATATAAGTATTTTAATCGAGTTGAAAAACCATTTTATGTTTGTTTGTTGAAGTTTTGTTTTATTAACTGTTAGTTAGATGAATTAAGGATTATTAAAAGTATTGTAAGTGTTCACCATTGGCCTGATACTAATTCTTTAGTCTAACTGTAAACTACCTCTAGTTAGTGACTTGTGATTCCACTCATCATAACAAATCCTCCAATAAATAAATTTGGTGTAACAGTAGTTTTAATTGAAACTCCAACAATTAAGCCCACCAGGGTGCTACTCATTACATAACACTACGTACTAGTTGCTATAGGATCCATTTGGAAACCAACCCAAAACATGTATTTAGAGAAGAGTCATGGGTGTGTGTTTTTGCAGAGCAACCAACCCCTTCTACTTTTGAAACTAAATTTACGTTCCTTACAACATTATACCCGTAGGCAGATGAGTCTACAATTGCACCCGTTGTATTGTACCCATATATGCATAAATTATATTCAAAAAGTGCAAAATTAGCCTTAGAAACCATTAAAATTCACAGCTTTCAGTGAAAATTACAAAATGTTTAAAAGGCGGGTATGTCCCTGGACCTCCTAGTGTGGCTTCGCCACTTATTTCTTTTTTTCCTCTCAAAGTAAAAACTCCTTTTTAAATTTCTACATTCGCTGCTGAACATAATTCTTTCATTTAAAATATGCATGGAATATCTACTACAAAGGCAGTGACTAATATGATTTCATTAAAGACCGAAATATGATCATCTTTATTTTATA